AAGATTCTCAGATCTAAAGATTTACAACGCAGATCTTTTACGTATATAATCTAAAAAAAATATATCTAAATAAAATTATATTTATGAAAATAATTATAAAATATTTTTATACGTGTCAGTTATAAATTGTTGTTGATGTAATCTTATATAAAATTAATATCAACCAAATTTGATGAGTTGACTGGGAAGACTGTAATAGCAACAGTTGCAAAAATAAACTAACAATAAGAGATTGTTTCAGGTCAGTGAAATCGAAACGTATCATAATTTTCATATCGCGATGGCACCGATATCTTATGACGGTTGAAGGTAACGTCGCATTGACAGCATTACAAAGTCTTAGTAACAAAATTCTTGATTGCGATGAATCAAGAATGCGGCATCCCGAAGAAATTCACTCTCTTTGCATCGCGATATTATGCGAGTGAAAATATATTGTTAAAGGTCGATCATGATTATACGTTTTGTTAATCCACGAACGATTTATCGATAGTTTCGCATAAGATGGAATTATGGAAGACGAACTTGCGTTCTACTTCATATCTGCACCGATCACGCAACACTATCGTGACTAAAGATTTAAAGTCATAACTTTCCCGCTCTTCCTGATGGCAAAAGCATTATTTACATGAAACTAGTTTGTATCAGACTTTTAATAAAAACAATTAAATTAAATAATAAAATGATGATTCGAATAGAGAAATATCCAACAAAATTGAAAATTAATTATAATACCATCCGATTAAAAAAATTATGAATTGAAAATTCTTATGACAACTTTAGTTAAGATATACTTAAACGAGTTTCATCCATCTTTCATTTGAAGCATGATATTATCTTCTATGATGATTTCTTATGATAGTATAATGATTTCATATAGAATAGCATGATTTCAGATAACATCAAAGTTTCTGCTTGTTATATCTTATAAATAGAAGTATAATATTTGATCCATTCACGATCAGATACACATTTTGAGTCAAAGAAATGTAAATAAATTACTCAATCCGCCTCCTACGCTAACCGTCAGTTTCATCTAATCGTCGTCAACACTGTGCATTTTTCTCATGAGAAGAGAGACAACTTCGATCGCAACCGTGACATATATGCAGCCATTCGGGACAAGCCTCCGCGAAATCATTCACGGAGACCTCTCACTCTCCCCACGTGCTCGCCAGAGTACGAGCCTTCGCGGCGGGGAGACAAGAGAAAATCATGAAAAGTAGTAAGTGTGAGCGAGTGAGAGTGAATTCGACTACAGTGCATGTGAGAAAAAGAGAATGATAAAACCATTCTCTTCTCTCTTTCTCTTCTTTCTTTCTCTGGTTTCTTGCGAGAGACTTGGCGACTTGTCTTGGTAACGAGAGAAGTCGCCAGTGTCTCGGTAGACCTCCATCTGGTACAGCGGGCTGAGCTTCTTCGGATATCGTCCGTTCATCCGTCTGTCCATTCCAGTTGCTCGCGTGCCACCTGGCAAATCGTGGTGCCAGATTCTTCGTCTCATAATTTTTCTTTTTTCTCCTTTCGCCTTAGAACGGACGTAACTGGCTCGATACTCGTGGGAACGGGAGCGTGTGAACCGGAATATAAATAAATCGAGTACATAGACGTTTCTTTGTGGCACGTTCGAGATCAGTCTTGGCGCGTGTCGATTTCAGCAAGACCGCCAACGAGAATTTCCGAGTTTTTAGTGCGATCAACTCATATCAGCTCCTTCATTCGCGCCGCGGGCAGTCGCGTGCCGGCTTTGACACTTGCTCCGTATGTCTGATCGATATTACGTGAAGTGAAATTGATGACAACTGCCTCAAATTACTTTCGGTAATAGAGTTGAAAATAACGTTAACAATGCATTCTTCTTTATAGTCAAGATAAAAAAATCGTAAACATATAGATAACTAAACAGTAAAAATTGTCTGAAAGGTTGAAATTCTTAATGAATTTATTTATTATCTTTGTACTTCGTATTTATTCTCTGTAATGGAGTGTTTGAAAACGTAAAGTTAATTAAATTAATTTAGACATCAATAAATTTTTAATTAAAAAAATAACGAAAAAGTAAAAATAAAACTTACTAATTTATTTTAAATAAATTGTTTCGGATTTAATTCTATCTGCAATTTATTTTAAATAAATTTTATGTGTAACAAATCAAATTTCAGGATACAATAAATTGATTGTTGTGAACGTTATTAACATTAAACATTACAAAAAAAATTACAAAAAAAATTTACTTAATTTTTTATTACATATTAATTAAACAATATTTGCTATGTAAGCATAAAATTTAGAACATCTTTACAATTTGCGCTTTAGTAATCCTATTTGTTATACATTTTATATTGTGATATAAATATCAGTAGAATCTATAATGTATTATTTTCAATGTACATATATGTACAATATCATAAACATCGAAAAAGGTTGTTGCTTCAATAAGAAAAAAATTCATTCTCTAATAAATATTCTCTCGGCGGTGAATATTGTGGCAAAAAATAAGTGCGAATGTGAATGTAAGATACACAAAACGCCACGCCGATGCATCGCGTGATCGCGCAATTTAATTCGATGGCCGATTATATTAGGTTTGTCTGTGTTATGCTACCGCATCCTTGATCTAATCGGGAGGAAATAATTTGTTTGGCCGCACCCGGGGGTCATACATAGGGTCTGATTGGCTGTAAATGATCGATCGTTGTATATTGAATCGTGTTACTGTATGTAAAGCGGGAATTAGAGACTATCTATATGTTATCATTGTTGTTGCAGCGGTAGAATGTGAACATTACAAAGAAACTTTTTTTGATGACTTATTCGATAAAATCAATTACAATCAATTCACAAGATGTAAAATATCAATTTGCAAAGAATAGAACAATCTTCGAGAAATTAAATTACAAACTCATTATAAAATAAATGAGTGGAAAAAATTTCGTGGAAATTCAAGATCAATACAATAAATTATTTTATCATTTTGATATGGTATAATTAGAGAATAATCCATTATCGCTTCAAAATTTGAATAGTTGTATGTAGTCCATCATTGTTAGATACTAAATAATTGTATAAGTAATATACTTTGATAAATAATTTATACGTATATTTCATTTGTTATAAATAAACGTGCAGTTATATTTTATGAAATCGCTATTTGTGCGTTTTCTTGATGTCCTGATAAAATTTTGGATATCTGATATTATTTCAAAAACAATCTTTTGTTTCTTTAAGATTAGAGATCTGTTTTTTATTCTTGTACTAGACTGTACTACATAGCGTAGGACTCTCTTTTTTTAATATTTGGCTTTTATCAAATTCGAGAAGATTAATTTCTGAGTATATAAAATATATTAATATAATTTTTTGCAATAAGAATTAGTACAGATAGAAAATTATTTACAGATTTTAATATGTTATTCAACATTATTAAGATCGTTTGGAAGATGCGAATAAAGCATCAAAAAATTGTTAAATTACTAGT